CTACTACTACTACTACCACCGCTATTACTGTTACTGTTACTGTTACTGTTACTGTTACTAGTACTAGTACTAGTACTATTACTATTACTACTACTACTACTACTACCACCACTACTACTACTACTACTACTGCTACTACTACTACTGCTATTACGACTATGACTATGACTATTACTATTACTATTATGTGGCACAGAAAGAGAAAGAGATCTAAGCCAAAGGCTTCGCTCCCGGCTTCACAGTCGCATTCAGCTGGACCAAGACAGAACCTGAGTCCTGAGCACGCGACACATGCTCTTCCTAAGGTCCTACAAAGATACGCGTTCCTGAACCCTTACAGTGTGAATATTATTACCCATCATACATTGTAATTATTATTGCTAATGTTACTGTTATCTTGTAGCTCTTCCATGACAAGGATCATGCGACTCCTCATCGAGCTTCAGAGCAGCTTTGTGCCCAGCATGACCATCCAGGGATACCCCGGAAACTCGGAGCACGAGGAGGGCCAGCCAGGCAGCCTTCCGGAGCCGGAGCTGCAAGATGAAAAAAATCGAAACTGCTACATGTCAGCTCGCGACCACTGCGGAGACAGAGGGAGAGGCGGAGACTCCGATAAGCACAACAATTAAACAGGACTTGTGCAAACTGAAATATTGAATCCCGCACTGTACACATACCGAGCTGTGACCCGCAGATATGAACATGTGACATGCCCACTGGCCTGAACCGTTCTGCTGGCAAGGCCTTGGTATGAGATTCAAGCATCTCGGTCGGAGGAACTTTTGAAGATGGAGATCCCTTCGAATAAAAGGCAATGACCAGAGAAGCTGCATCAAACACCCAATACGTATTCAAGCTGCAGCTCATCGTGTGCAGAAGGCCATCGAAGAAAGTGTCGATAGGAGATTGTCCTTTCACAGGCGTTCACAAGTTGAAAGCATCAGACGTTTGCGAGCTGCAAGCTCTGACATCAGCTGTAGGACGCCCCAGGACTGCGGAACGAGCTGTTGTGCTACGCTTACTTCGGAACCGCAATTTGGCATAAAGCCTTGCTTCAACAAGAGCATCTTGGACTGAAACTAAGTGCGTGCGAGGAGCTTGGGATGCGTGACTTTCGCCAAGCGGATAAGTTGGTTTCGGTGCCAAACAAACTTTGGGTCTCACGGCAGCGGCAACAGAATGTTGTCATCCAGCAGTTTCCACAGCTGCACGTAAACACATTCCGGCAAGCAGCCATCAAAAGACATGCTGGATTCATTGCTCCACCGAATTTCGATCTACAGCAAGCACACCTACAGGACGGAAGCCCACCTGGAGCACTGGCGGCATCCGAAAGACCCGGAAGTCGAGGCTTCCGCTTGAGGCCGCTACGGCGCAACCTCTGCTTCGTTGGCGATGCATGACCCACACGACGCCTGCTTGAACTGCCATCGTATTCTTGATCAGTGCTGTATTGGGGCCCTCTTCGGCTTTGCTGTTATCATGCCAAACTTCGTTACTAATCCGGCTAGGAGAGATAGAATCGTGATGCAAGCTGCCCAAGCATGGAACAAGCATGCTAGTTGAAGCAAAGCGACAATGGAAGGGTCTCGATGTCAGCTGCACCTCACACTCCCAGGACGGTGCAACTGTCCTAAAGCCGTCCGACTGACAATGAATACTACCACCACCACCACCACCACCACCACCACGACTACTGCTGCTACTACTGCTGCTGCTGCTGCTACTACTACTACTACTGCTACTACTACTACTACTACTACTATTATGATTATGATTATCACTATTATTACGATTATCACGATTATTACGATGATTTCTACTAGTCCCCCCACTACTAGTATTACTCTTACTCTTACTGCTACAGCTACTGCTGCTGCTGCTGCTGCTGCTGCTGCTGCTGCTACTTCTGCTACTACTACTACAACAACAACTACTACTACTACTACTACCACCACTACTACTACTACTACTACTACTACTCTTCCTATGAGACTGTTTCTGTGACACTATGACAAAATACCTCGACCATTACTATTCCCATTACTACTACTATTACTATTACCATTACTATTAGTACTATTCCTGTTACTATTATTATGAGTCTTGTTATTACTTGCGAAAGAGTCCCTGTCCCGGTCTCGCAGCACAGCGACCGCCTGCATCCGCAGCTGTCCGCGCCCGAGTTCGAGGCCCGGGAGGGCCTTCGCAAAGCGCAAAGCAGAGCCGTAAGCCAACAGCATTTAGAATCGTAAATAGTAGGGAAGCGTTTGAGGTTTCGGATTTCTTCCGACATCCTCTTGATCGCGGTGTCAGGCAGAAACGGACAACAAACAGACACAATGAATAGCAGATCCGCAGGTCTTAGCAGCGAGCTGGTAAACGATGCTTGTCTCTTGTTTGCTTGGAGCCGTACCTGGCACTGAGCTGAGGGCTGGCAGAGCATACTGGATCGCGCTAGTCATAGCAGCTTTCACGGAACCTCTTGGCAATCTCAATCTCGAATCCAGAGCTACAAGCAATGAAACTTCGGTCGTCGCTCTTCCGGTTGATAGTCTGCCAATCGACACTCTAGCGACAGGCCTGCACAGATTCCAGATTGCATCTGGAATTGACGGTAGAATGTCGGAGGGGCATTGATGCGGAGCCCCGATGCCCGCCTATGCTCCCACTCGGGGCTTTGGAATGTAATGCAGCTGCCAACCAGAGCAAGCAACAGACACAAAGACAGACACACGGACAGTTTTGACCCTCATGCGTTGTGCACATATCTGCCGTGAGTGTGCCTCTTGAATCCTCTTGACACATCGTGAAAGAACGACAATTTTTGACAATTCGGGGTCAGGACTCATGACGTGGGGCTCAAAGGTTTCCGGTCTTGCGTGGGTGTCACTTGGTGTTGGAAAGGAAGGCGGAAATGACAAGGAAGGCGTCCGAGCATAACCCAGCGAGTAACGAAGTGGTTCGGGAGTTGGCCTGAACCCTCAACCCAAACGATCCCAAACGCTAAACCACCCTAGATCCTACACTGATGCCCTAAAGCATCCTATCAGCCCATTATACCCGATGAGCGCGCCTACGTCCGAGCTGGAGCACCAGACTCAACAATCTCTTGAACCCCACATAGTCCGTGTTCACTACCCCGAAAATTATGTGACGCGTTTCCTTATTGATGCCAAACAAACAAGCAAAACAAATCGAATCAACAAAAAACGAGCAGGCATCTAAGCAAACACACGCGGAAACGTGCATGCATCAGATGATCCCTGAGCACCACTTGTGTCATCTTCTCGAGAACATCTTCTGGGTCCTCCCAAGTGACTGCAAACAAGCTGTGTCCTTTTCACGAAAACCCACCGGCATTCGACCAAGTTTCGACCGAGTCCTTCTCCATCAAGTCTGCCACAGTTCGAACCCTTGCAAGCGCGAATGCTGCTCTGGCTGCAAACTCTTGCTGCGTAGAAACCACCCACTGCCTGGCAGGCCCTGGGGGCGGCGGCGCATCTTCCATGCCTCTCGGCAGTTACGTAGCTTCTGCCGACTGCAACCGGATCCGTGCAGCCAAAATGCTCAGTGGCAGCAACTCGGAATCAGAAGTTGCGGTCGGCGGCTCGGCGTGAGAAGTCGCTTCAGCCTCTGCACTGCCAGTGCCACAGGTGGGGGGCACATGTCGTGGAAAGCTGCCTTCTCTGCTTCCAGCTGTTGGCTCCACCTACAAAACGAATGCTGACGTCTCATCAGCCAACGCATCTGCTTTGCTAAAAAGGCTGGGGGCTGCTCTGCATCAGGTTCAGGTCCTCTTCTTCAGCCAGCTTGGCCTGCCTGACCATGGTAGCGATGATAAAGCAGTCGCAGGTACAGCAGCAGTGCAGCAGCACTAGCAGTAGCAATAGCGTTAGTGAGAGTGGCAGTCGTCGTCATAGTAGCCGTCGTAGTAGCCGTAGAGGTCGTCGTCTTCGTCGTAGCAATCACTTTTGTTATCAAACAATTGGGAGGAGAAGTAGCAAGGAAGTGGGAGTAGGAGGAGTGGGAGGAGTAGCTGTGGGAGTAGGAAAGGGCAGGGCAGGTGCAGGGGTAGGAATAGGGGTAAGGGGGGATGGGGGGCTAGCGCAGTAGGAGGGCAGGGAGTAGGAGGAGGTGGAGCATCAGCAGCAGTAGCAGTGCCAGTAGCAGCAGTTCAGGTCGTCGGCGTCGTCGCCACCATCGTCACGATGATGACTCGCGTGATGACGATAGCGGTGATGATGGCATTGATGGTGGTGACCATGGCGACGACGGCGGCGGCGGCGGCGGTGGTGGTGGTGGTGACGGTGGCGGCGGTGACGGTGGCAGTGGTGACGGTGGCGGTGGCGGTGACGGTGGCGGTGACGGTGGCGGTGGTGATGAGAAGGATGACGATGACGATGTCGATGATGATGATGATCATGATGATGATGATGATGATGGCGATGGCGATGGCGATGGCGATGGCGATGGCGATGGCGGTGTTGACGATGATGATGATGGTGGTGGTGGTGGTGGTGGTGATGCTGACTGTGATGGTGGTGATGATCGTTTGATCACGT